CTTACGATTGAAATTAATTAAATATTAGAACTCATATTGGTACGCTTAGGTTTACCTACTAAAATTCAAAACTACTCTAAACTTGTGACATTTCCTTTACCAGACAAATTATTGTATTACAATAGCATTCCCTCGCTTATTACTAATTTCACCTTTACAACCGCCGAACTAATAAAATTAATGTAATCGATACAATTTTTATCAAAAGTACTCAATAATAGATAAAACAGGTATCTCCGAAATTTTTATTTTTAAATGATCTTGTTTGAAAATTTAGAAATCATTACAAACATATATAATATTTTGGAAAATTCGAAAAAAGTTTTCTTTCAGTTTTTCCTATGTACAATACTATTTTATTGTAAACACACTATTTACAACACTCTTATGATAATGGCGTAAATGCCGAAACGTTACTATCAAGATCTAAATAAAAATTACGAAACAAACCAAGTGTTTTTTTACCAAATATAATTTTCAATACGTTCCCATTTTTAATTTTGTATGAAAATTTAAAAAGGGCTAACAACCACTTGAAATAATTAACGAGTTTAATAACACAACTTATAATTTAATGCTTGAAATACGCAACCGCCCACTAACTTAATAATATAACCATTGGCCAAGTGTCGTCTTCGAAATCAAGAATAAAATGTTTAGGAGAACATATCTGGCGAAGTATTGGAGATGGCGCAGAATTTTTTTCACCAACGGTTGACCCGTTCCGCCCCGTGTAGGAAAAATTTAATTTCGAAGAAAAAAAATATAATCCTTTTTTAAAATTTTGATTTTTTCACCAACACCGAATGCGACAGCAGATGGACCATGACGTTCGCACTGAGGCGGGACATCAGTCTGTAAGAGAATTTTTCCTGTATAGGTCCTACCGTTTTCCGCGGTTAAAAATTATTAGCTCGGCAGATACAAGGCCGATCGGTACCAGACAGGGCTCGTTTGAAGCCCAATAAATGTTGCAAGTTTTCGACGGAAACGGTTTTGAATACTGACATTTCTGATCTGAGCTACAGCACATCCAATTCGTGGAATTTTCCCTATAGTTCGTTTTAGTGTTTCCCTGAGTTCACGGGATAACCAATATTTTCGGACTGAGTGATACGATCGTCATGGGAGTATTATCAACATTTTCTAAAGATACTATTCACTGCGTCGATAATGAAGGCGCCCAGTTACGAGATTCCATTTTGTAGTTATAGCTATCGGAAGATTTGGCCAAAAGGTAGATATACGCAACTGTGCATTAATTTTATTGCACAATAACATCTGCAAGACCGTTTTCAAAGATATTATCAGTCATAATTATTACAAATAGTTACCTACAATTACAATTTATTTATAATAATTGTTAACTGACTAACGGAGTATGTAAAGCTTTTTACCCAAAGCGACACATCGGTTGTTAACTTTACAATTAAAAAACCTTTGAACCCGATTTAGTTTTGGTTCTACACATTATGTACCCTACATCTGATTAACTACACTTATAACGAGGTGAAATTAGTTTATTTACATGTCGAAAATGTAGGAGGTAATTTTTGGAACTAGATTCTGATTCTCATTTAATATTAAAAGAATTGTTTAGGTAATTCTTTTAAATAGAAATGTATAATGTCTTACTAACTGTCATTTGTTGTGTGGGATTTTTTAAATTGTATGAAAAATAATAAATGTAATACATGTAAGTGATGTAAAAGTAGGATTACAACTAAAATGTAAGAAAAGGCAGTAAAAGAACTCGAAAAGGTCACCCATATTCGATATTTAGGGAATCGAATAACTCACAGGAAGATGGGCGCTGCGGAAAGGAAAATGTTTGTAAGATATGGTATTATAGAAAATGACATACATGTCAGCACATCTTCTCAGACATGAAGGGTTAGTTGGAGGGACATTGGACGCGGAAACAGAAGTTAAGAGGGACAAAGGTAGGCCTAGATTAGATTACTGTTCTCAAATCATTAGTGATGTAAGTTGCCCTAGTTGGAGTGATGTGTGTCCAACTAGTTTTTAGACCATATACTATTGGTGATAGATAGCTGTAGCAGTCACGAAAATGATAATTACGACAAAACTATCTATTAAACCATGAACAATCTTTCTTATTTTATTCTTTTTTCTTTTTTTTTAATTCCTTCTTATTGCAGTTCTTGCTTTGTAGAAAACAGGCAATTTTTATCAACAAAAGAAACAAAATTACATTTAATATAAAAAAACTTTATTATAACTTATCGCAAACTTCTTTCAATTATTATTACATAGATAAATAATTCATTTAGTGGTGGTGATGGTGAACAACTTCATGGTGTTCAGAGACAACATGGGGATGTTTGATTTCGATTTTATGGCCGAATGAAGATTTCTGGTGGTGGTGAACTGGTTCTTCGTGGTGATATTCGTGGTGAGCTGGAGCTTCGTGGTGGTGTTCTACTTTGGTGGGGTGGTTGATGTGGATTTTGTGACCGAATTCAGCTTCATGCTTGTGTTCGATGACCTTTCCATGGATGGTTTTGTACTCTACCTTCTTCTCGTGGGCGTAGACAATTGCCACAAGGGCGACCAAGATAAGTACCTTCATGAAATAATAAACAATTACATATATATACCACAAAAAATAAATAAGAAAGCTACAAAATTTGTTTCTACTTATAGAATTGTTTATACTTACTTTGAAAGACATGTTGAAGTAATTGTTGATTGAAGATGTTTACCAACTGATGAAGAACGTACACAAAATTCACTTTTTATACTGAAAAGGTAGAAAGTGTCCCACCACCGAACGAGTTATTTAAAATAAGGCATTAGCGATATTGACGCCTAATAGTTTATTAATGAGCAAATGCAAATCTATAAAATATTATGTATATTTATATAAATTGATATTTAGTACCTGCTTTTAGGGTACCAGTACACAATTTCATGAATATAAAAAGTGGTAGGTATTACCACAAAAAAACACACACACACAAGTATAATTGAAGCACAATAATTACCTCGTTACATGCTGACGACTTGTTCATGTGATACAGCAATAACAAAATAAGAAATAAATTTATTGACGATGAAATTATGCATGAAACATTTTTTAATTTAATATAATTACAAGAGCACTCTTTTAATTTCAAATATTTAATATTAACTTTAAAATTCCAAAAAGGCCGCAAAACAATTGCAGTGTTACAATTAAAAACTATTCAAACGTTTTCTTGTTATTGGAAAAGCACTAACTTACATACAGTTACAACGAGCACCAAAAGTAAATTCATTGATTTACAAATAGCATTTTTATTTTTTTTTAAACCGTTCATCATCATCATAATATCGTTAATCTTAAGACTGGTTGGACACCCACCTCCACTCTTTCATATCCTGAGCTAATCTTCGCATTTTCCTAAAACTAGAACAAACCATATCCTTAACTATTTGCGAACAGTAATTTAATATACGTCTACCTCTACTACTTTTAACTCCTGTTTCTGCCTATAATATGTCTCTGACTTGACCTTCACGCCTGAGAAGATGTCCTATCAATTTATCTCACCTATTTTTTATTGACTTCCAGAGCCCTTTGTTCTCCTATTCTTTCTAATACCTCTTCATTTCTAACCTTCTCTATCCACGGTATCCTCATTATTCTTCTGTAACACCACATTTCGAACGCTTGTAACCGTTTCTTTTCTTTTAACTGTTGTCATTACAAAATAATTTAATAACACAACTTGTAATTTAAAGGTAAAAATACGCAACCGTCCACTAATTTTATTGCACAATAGCAACCGTAAGACAGTTTGCAAAGATATAATCATTGTTATTACAAATCGTTATTTACAAGTATAATTTATTTATAATAATTGTTAACTGAATAACAGAGTATGTATTATCAAAAAAACCTGTCCTGAAAAAGCTTTATACCCAAAGCGACACATCGGTGGTTGATTTTACAATTAAACCTTTCAACCCTATTTGATTTTGATTATACCCTTTATGTACGTTATATCTGATTGATAGTACTAATATTGCAACGAGGTAAAGTTTGTCTATTTGATTTCGAAGAATGTAGGAAGTATTTTTTGGAACTAGGTACTGATTTTGAATTAATTCAAATTAATAATTTAATAGTAACGGTCAGGAATCTAACTTAAAAAAAAATTGAATTAATATTAAAAAAAAATGTTTTCTTATGACTACGCTTCTGTATAGTAGGTAATTATTTTAACTACAATTGTATAATGTCTAACTTTTATTTATTTATTTGTTATATGTGCTTTTTTTACTTTACATGAAAAAGGTAGTAAAAGAACTAGAAATGGTCACCGACATTCATTTAGGGAATCAGATAACTTACACGAAGATGGGCGCTGCAGAAAGGAAAATGTCTCTAAGATATGGTGTTACAGAGAATATCATAGACAAGCTCATCTTCTCAGGCATGAAGGGTTGGTCAGAGGCACATTGAAGACAGAAACAGAAGTTAAGATGGACAAAGGTAGGCCTAGATTACTGTTCTTAAATCGTTAATGATGTAAGTTGCCCAAGCTGGAGTGATGCCTATCCAACTAGTTTTTAGACCATATACTATTGATGATAATCGGTACAGCAGTCACTAAAATGATAATTACGACAAAACTATCTGTTAAACCATGAAAAATCTTTCATTCTTTTTTGTTTTTCATAATTCCTTTTTATTGCAGTTCCTTCGTAAAAAACAGGCAATTTTTATCAACAAAAGAAACAAAATTATATTTAATATAAAAAAACTTTATTATAACTTATCGCAAACTTCTTTCAATTATTATTACATCGATAAATAATTCATTTAGTGGTGGTGATGGTGAACAACTTCATGGTGTTCAGAGACAACATGGGGATGTTTGATTTCGATTTTATGGCCGAATGAAGATTTCTGGTGGTGGTGAACTGGTTCTTCGTGGTGATATTCGTGGTGAGCTGGAGCTTCGTGGTGGTGTTCTACTTTGGTGGGGTGGTTGATGTGGATTTTGTGACCGAATTCAGCTTCATGCTTGTGTTCGATGACCTTTCCATGGATGGTTTTGTACTCTACCTTCTTCTCGTGGGCGTAGACAATTGCCACAAGGGCGACCAAGATAAGTACCTTCATGAAATAATAAACAATTACATATATATACCACAAAAAATAAATAAGAAAGCTACAAAATTTGTTTCTACTTATAGAATTGTTTATACTTACTTTGAAAGACATGTTGAAGTAATTGTTGATTGAAGATGTTTACCAACTGATGAAGAACGTACACAAAATTCACTTTTTATACTGAAAAGGTAGAAAGTGTCCCACCACCGAACGAGTTATTTAAAATAAGGCATTAGCGATATTGACGCCTAATAGTTTATTAATGAGCCAATGCAATTTTTTTTGAAGACCGACTTAAAACGATAATTATTGTAATTATTTCACTTGAAACAGATTACTCGAAATTAACAATAATAATAATAATAATAATTAGGTCTCCTAATGACCTGTTAATTTAAAGAAGTTTTTCTAAGAATTCGGTTCGGCTTTTTATGGTTTTGTCTTGTAGAGGAAAGTTTGTATAGTTAAGCAATTTGGGATACCATGTTATCTCCAAACCTATTAGTTTTTCTGTAATAAAAACCACAAAACAATAGGACATAAATTGATTCTGTGTTAAGCACACAGTTGAATTATTTACTAGTAAATTATGTCTTTTGTGAAATAGAACTTTTTTTTACTCCCTTGCAAACTGTTAAAAAGATAAGTAGTTAGCTTACGATACTTAGTGTAATTTGTCGTTTCGTTCCAATCACATATCTTGAAATATACAGGTTGTCTAATTTTGCATAGGAAGGGTACCCTAAAATTGGATATTTAAAATGAGGAACTTAATTAAATGTTAGGTTTTAAAACGTGTTTAGTGGTAGAACATTGTGTGGTAGTATAAAGTTTAATCTTTGCTTTAAAAAATTGGTTTCTAATCTTCGATAGGGTATCCAATTTATGGAACCCGTTATTTAAATTTGAAAATTTTTTATTCTCTATATGATTCAAATAAATATTTATGTATACATATCGTATTTTAGGATTTTCAAAAGCGAAATTAAATATTTTTTTGAAATTAGCAAAAAAATTTTACTTTAATGTTTTATTTATTACCGTAATTAATTATTAACGAATAACTCCTTGGACGCTCCTGGTTTTAATGCGCATTTAATGAAAAAATAATGTCATTATAATTACCTACTCAAAATCGAAAAGAAGTGTTGTATGGTGTATGCAATAACAGAGTCGATTAACCAAAATGTTTAAAAAAATAGTTAAAATTATTTGCAATTTTAAAGTAAAACGGCTTATTTTATTATTCTAAATCTCATTACAAAACCAGTAAGTACAAAATTTAACATTGTAAAAAAAATTGTTCATTTTTGTGATACGTTTTTTTTTTAATACCTTTCCAATTTCTTTCATGAAAATACGGAAAATTAAAATAAAATAAATATATTTACTTTCTCTACAGTAATTACAATTCCATAATTAGAATGGATTGTACGTACATATTTACATACATTTACAATAAATAATACTAATACACGTATTCTGTTACATCAATTAATCAATAATTGTAATAATTAGAAGCACTTGGCATTCTTTCAACCACTTTAGAAGATTTTTGCATCATATTATTCGACTCTAAAACTTTACTATCCAAAGGTTCTCTCTTTACTACGGCATTAAAACCATTATGGGCGTCAGCACTATACTCCACAATTCTTCTATAACCATCAGGATCGATTAGGGAGTAACCCCCAACCACCACGTCGTTTTTACGTGATTCATGTTGAGTTTTAACGTCACCAGTATGATGATCTTCTACCGAATACGCAAACTCGTAGTGAGGCTCGCGATGGGCAAAATAATATTCATCTTCTTTGTTAGATTTAGCCATTTTGACAACTGGGGTCTCAATCTCAACCGATTTAAACTTCTGGGGAACTTGAAGGGCGCTGTAATAATAATTTCTCACAGATGGCACGAAACCAAATTTCGTTATATGTTCATCAGGCTGTATGCGATTGTTTTTCGAAACACTAAACTTGTTTTCATTTACTGCATTCGGTTTCGATTGCGCGTAGACAATTTTGGGAACTGATGACTCTTTGGGAAGAAACTGGGGATAGAACGAAGATGATACCGGAGAATCTTTGACCATTAGACTGGCATAGGGAACTCCAGCTGTTTGCGATGACATTTGCACTGTGCTGGGATGAGACATGTCTTTTGTGAAGTATGAGTTGGATAGATGGTCGATACCAGGGGAGTTTATCGAATTATAAGCAAACGATTTGGAGGGAGATGCTGGAACTTTAGCCGCGATGATGATTGAAAATGTTGAGACCACAAGGAAACACTATATTATCCAATAAACAATTAGAATAGGTGTTTAACTGTCTTGTTAAACAAGGCATCTAAGTTATCTAAGAAATTCAAAATCAAATTGTCCTTCTTCCAACTATAAACATTCCTAGAGCAGCTGTAATTTTTTAAGTTTTGTTAATTTTCAGCTGTTTCCAGATACCTCGTTAGAGGTAATTTAGAATGACATGAACCTTGACCATGGGTAACCAGTGACAAAATTCGGTAGGTAACAAAAGTATTTTCAAAGCAATTCCTTGATTTTCCTTTTTTAAAAGAAGCAAATCCATTTCAGTTAGTATCAATTCAGCAACTTTCTTCAAGAGGTTCAGTGAGATCTATATGCATTTTTTGAGACTGTACCGCTCGCTACGTGAAGGCCCATGTCATTCTAAACTACCTATACTAAATTTAGGTAAAATTATAAGTTTGAAACACTTAAAACATTGCACATAATTGTGAATACCAAAGACCATAAACCACTTTTAAAAAATATATCCTTTTTCTAGTAAAATACATATTAAATATTCACTTACCGTTATAGTCATTTTGACTTCTAGTAGATGCATGTGAATGTACTTACAATTTTTGCAAAAGTACTTGGAACAATAACGACCGAAAACGGGGGTGCCATAGTTTTTATAAGAGTACAGAGGGGTGTGGTAGAGGCATTTACTCTATTGACCCTTTCACTCATTTTAATCCCACGCAAGTTGTCTATTCATTCCACTGCAGACACGTAATTATTTTTAACGATCATTTCGCAATTTATAAATCGATCAGTTAATTGCTCTGCTGCCGACAATTCAGAGATAAAAAACTTTCATTACACTGATGTTATCCTATCGCAATATCTGATACGATATAACCGAACATGTACTATATCAGTTATTATATTATTTTATCGGCAATGCACACTATGAAAGAACAAGCGAAATACTTCTCATTCATAACTAAATACAAAGGGCATAATATAAAAAGCGTAAGATTCGATATCGATTCTCAAAGAATACCTATATATATATATACATATATATATGTGTATTCTTAAAAGAAATAAGGATAAAAGATTGTCCTTAAGGAGAAAGTTTCAAAAATTGATCGACAGTCTCTTACTGTACCAATATGTAACATTAATATAAGCTTCTTACCCTGGATGTATTTATATATATCCGGTATCAGTTTACCCCTTTTTGGAATAAAACATATTTTTCATAATGTAATTCACTCTACTGTCCCGTAGGGTTCAATTTTTTTAGGTTAATTTGTGAATTAATAGCATACAAATAAGAATGTACATGTAGTTATTTCGGTATAACACACATAGTTTAATTTTGTTTATAAATATGTACAGATTTTAATTAATAGTACCTAATAAATTCTAAATACGTAGATAGAGAAATATGTCTGTTATAATAAGTTTATAAAGAATTTCGTCTTCATTACTTCACCTTCCATTATCTACAATACAGAATTTATCTTCGTTCTAATACCATACTTAAAAAAGTCGATTGTAAATAGTTTAGGTTAAGATAAACAATAATTATCTATTCTATTTTGAACTATGTAATTAATTATGAAACGTTACAGAATAGACAAACATTCCGATCAGCAGTGATATACATTCCGTTGATTTTATCAACTTATTATCGTTAACTCCGCTAATTACACAAGATATATACATAGTCCTAAGAAACGTGAGATTGCTCTAAATAATTTCTTCAGTTGTGTCACTAAAAAAAAAGAAAGAAGAAATACCTTTTTTAGCACAACCCTGCTCCTAAAGTATAATTTTTTTTAAGAATAGGTTATTTAGAATAGGGCTGAAGGATTATTTTTAACTATCGATTGTAGATTGTAAGAAAATATTCGATAATATAAATTATTGAGTTAAATTGTCGTTCGTAAGGAAAATGCATGTTAGTTATTGTTTATTTAATATCTTGTGATTTTATTTTGATGCATTTTTTAAATATAAATGCTTGTTATATATTTCGGAAATTTCATCTGTTACTTAATCTCCTTAATGTAGAGGAAAACATAAGGAATTATTTATAGAGATAATAACATAATCAGTGGTTTCGCACCTTGGAAATACAACTATTTAAGGGAAATTTCCCACAATTCCTGTGCCTATCAGAGAGGAATGCAACCTATAATTCTTTTCAGCAATAAAAAACAGGAGAAAAAGTGAGCAGAAAGTATCCCAAAAAAAACACCTCACCGTTCTATTGCCCACCACCCACCTTCCTCTCGCCGGACCATGTGTATGACCAGGGGAAAATAAATTTCACCATGCAAGCGCGTTTAGAATTCGGGACAGCGAATTCAATAAAATAACGGGTGCAGGGAAAAATCGTAGATTTATAAATTTAAGCGGACGGTGGTAATGTGCCTGACGGAATACAACCACTCACAAAAGCTAACAAAATTATACAACAGGTTCTGATACCTACTTTAACTATAAAATTAAATGTTATGTGATTATGCGAAATTCAATCTTAACAAAATGACCAGCTGACTTTGGGCAACTATAAGATGAATGTTAGGAAACATATTTTTTGTGTTCTAATATACAGGATGTCCACAATTTTTTGGCCAAACCATAGTTCAGGAAATAGAGAAATGAGAAAATATGAGAATAAACTTGCAAAATCCATAAAGAACCATGTCATCTGCCTCTGTGTAACCGCTCTCAATTTTCATTTTTCAAATGACACTCCTGATATTTGTACCACCACGCGATGCGATATTCGAAAATTAAACTAATAAACCATCTAATTAAAAAGTTACTAATCTTCTTTCGGGGATTCGTACCAAAACAGCCAAAATTGCGATAAAATCCTGATGGTTTAAAGTACAAACGTTAACTTAAATATTTTATTAACCTTAACTGTATTTATATGTAAGTATGTTTTGTAACAATTGGTAACCGTCTATTAGTAGGATACTTTGGAATATAGGGGCAAGGGTGGAAGCGCAGAAAGCGGAGTTGAAAAATCAAACATTGGAAAGAAAGCCAGCATAACCCAATCTAACCTTAATATAATCTGACCAAATCTACCATACATTGTTAATTTTCCAATATAATCCGTCTTTTACTAATCTTAATCAGAGGGTGATTGTCACCTATAATATAGTCCCTATAACGATATAAAACGACATCAAATGCCGAAACAATTTTACTAATAGTATCAAAATTGTTTGAAATATTATAATTTAAAATTAATTATTAAAATTTATTTTTCTTTGTTGTTACACCTACATGCATATTCGTGACCTACTGTAAAGCGCGGTTCTAAATCTATCAAAGTGTAATAATAATGACCGCAGTGTCCATTCTTCCAGAATTTTTAAAATTGACCACTAGTCAACGTCGACGGCAGACGTAGAGGCATTTGTATAAAATCCCGCCGCTGACGGAACAACCCTAACGTTTCTCGCTGCGATTTCGCTGACCGAAATATACATAAATATTTGTCAAACTCGACGCGAGATATTAATATCGCGGTTATCCTTTAAAGCGATTTCACCGATAATTCGTCGGACATAAATTCAGATTTGAAAACACCTGCAAAAAGGAGTTAAATACCGCGAGAAAATCTAGGCCATGAATCTGCTCAAAAATTTAAGTTTTACACTAGAACAATAAAATGAAATAAATCAACAAATTCTATATTTAACACCCAACTTCAGTCATTTGTCGTCTTAGTTTCTATGTGCCATATTGTACGTCTTTCTCGGTGACTTTTCTATTCTTTCATCAAGTAAATAAACGGAATAAAACTTTATGATAGGGAAAGTACCATAAATGGCGCAGTAAACGCCATCTGTAGTACGATGCTACATTTTAGGATTACGTATGCTCCAACGAGGTCCATTTAAATATATGGATATCTACTTGCTGAAACGAATCCCGGCGTAGCTAATCCAACCTGATAGGCACCTTACCATAATCGAATAAAATAATTCGAAGTGGTCTGTATTCTGTCGAAACTGCCAGACGCGGATCGCGATTTCGAACTTTTTGGATCTCATCAGCGCGTCGCAGACAGTTCCGACAGAACACAGATTTTTTTTATGTTTTCGTGGAAGAGGGGAAATCTTCAAAAGACACCCAGCCGTCCGTACGACTGGCTAGTGTCGGATTCCTGAAGAACAAAGACCAACTTTTACCTGCTGCCTTAACAGCGCGTTTTAGAAAATACCACAAATTGCGCGGTAAACGCCATCTGTAGTACAATGTTACATTGGTCCATTTAAATATATGGATATGTACTTGCTGGAACGAATCGCGGCGTAGCTAACCTCAACGTGTTGGGCACGTTACCATGATGACGTTATGATAAGATTCAACAAACATACGTCACAAACTAAAAAGGAAATCTGTTATTCCACAGGTGTGGACGGTAAACCACCAAATGGAAAAGCAAATATTGCTTCAACTTTCGGGTGGGGCGGACGGGGGTTTGTCGTAATTCTTTCAGATTTCTTAACGGGAGGGAAGCCCCGGCCGGTAGGTACTCGAAGCGCACGGGGTAAAAAAACAGACCTTTTTGTATGTCGAACATGAGGGCCAACAAAGGCAATTAGACCGATTACAAAAGGGAGAATACTTGTACGGTTTTATCCGGATCGTGTGTCAATCAGTTCAATTACAATGTTTAAACGCAACAAAACCTACTACTATCCCTCCCGGCCAGCTTATCTCGATCGTCTTGGAAACATCTCTCCCACGCGGGTACGAAACTGAAACTACACTTGCACCCTCTCTGCCTTTTTATCTATTATACGATCGATTTTGATACCTGCACTCACCTATCTGTATTGCTTGAAGTTACTCAAGTCTCTCCGAATCATTAGAATAAAAAAATAAACGGAGAACTACTTAGGGTACAGGTAAATAGATCGAATTATTGCGTTTGATTTCTTGATCAAAAATTTATTACCTACTATCAACCATACACAAAACGAAGTTCGTGATTTCGATCTCCCGATAAATTAGGTACCGACCAAATGGAAGAAGCTTCTAAAGAGCTTTCGCGAGAGCAGCGTTACCCGCCACGGGGAAGTCCCTGTCTTTACTATTCAGTACAAAATATTTAAATTTAGCACATTTTTGTACATTCTGGTACAATTAAAAAGAAAAACCCTGGCAACAATTGAAAAAACTCCGATATGCCTTTTGGATTCATCTTTTTTCGAAAATAAAAGAGAAATTTAAGTCTTTACCTTACTCAAAGAAATGCCTGGTAACTGGAGACATACCTGGAAACAAGAAAATTATGTTAGTTTTCAGTAAATAAACAAAAAACATTAAATTAAACTAATACAAAGAAGGGCATGGCTAATTAGTTAGACAGGAAGGTGCATACCACAATATGTAATAAAACAATATGTCGAATTTTTGATGTAGTATCCATAAATTGACACTCAGGTCACTGGTACAAAGTTGTTATTTAAAACGTACTTACGCACTATGTTAGTAGGTCAATTAGTAACCGTCTAATTAGCGAAATCAATAACTATAACAATCAATGATAATCAACTCAAGAAGTCGAGAATCTCGAGTGGAATACAAAATTACAAAGATGCAGGGTGGTGAGGCGGCTTACCGT